GGCCCAGCTGCATGATGCCCCCTCCGATGGACACCTAGGGGTGTCACGCACGTATGACCGCATTCGCCGCCGATTCTTTTGGCCTGGCCTCTACCGTTCTGTGCGACAGTACGTTGCGGCATGTGACCTCTGCCAGCGCCGCAAGACACCTGCTCAGAGACCTGCTGGTACCCTCCAGCCCATTGAAGTACCAGATGAGCCAATTTTCCGAGTCGGCCTCGATCTTCTAGGACCCTTTCCCGTGTCGGCCACCGGTAATAAGTGGATTGCTATTGCTACCGACTACGCAACGCGGTATGCCGTTACACGCGCCCTCCCCACCAGCTGCGCTACTGATGTAGCCGATTTCCTTCTTCATGACATCATTCTGCGTCATGGTCAGTTGATCACCGACCGCGGCAGCTGTTTTCTATCTAAAGTAGTCGACGAGCTCCTGCGATCCTGCTCTACCCACCACAAGTTCACTACAGCGTACCATCCACAAACCAACGGCCTCACGGAACGCCTCAACCGTACCTTGACGAATATGTTAGCGATGTACGTCTCCAAGGATCACAAAGATTGGGACATCCACTTACCTTTCGTTACCTTCGCATACAACAGTTCACGTCATGATACAGCTGGATTTTCCCCTTTTTACTTACTGTTCGGTTATGACCCGCCTTTGCCCATGGACACTATGCTCCAATCTGACGCCGCCTCATCGACTGCTTATGCTCGTGATGCCCTGGCCCGAGCTGACATCGCCCGCAAAATCGCCCGGGATCGTTTATGTGCCTCGCAGCTTAACCAAAAGAGTGCTTACGATCGCCAGCACCACGACGTACAGTACTCACCGGGGTCACTAGTCTTGCTGTGGTTATTATCACGTCGTGTTGGTCTCAGCGAAAAACTAATGTCCCGTTACGTTGGCCCCTACCGCGTCATACGCAAGGTCACCAGCGTGACCTATGAGATAGCTCCACTCCATACCACGTCAGTACCAGCTTCAGTGCCGACCGATATAGTGCACGTCTCACGGCTTAAGCCATACTTCTCACGCCTCGAGAATTGATCGCACCGGGACGGTGCTTCTGCCGCCGGCGGGTAATGTCACGGGCTAAGTAGATGCCTGATGATGACGACGACGAAGTGCTGAACGGGAACGTGCTCGGACTGCAGCAGCGTCGTACGCATTAGCTCGACATTATATTCGCCAGTACACATTTGTTCACCAGTGTATACTTTATTCCCCGTAACAATATGACCAATGTTGGATATGACATAATAAAGAAACGATTGACTCTCCCGTTACAGAAATAACACAGCGGCAGCTAATTGTGTATTCACCACCTTGATCACTGAAATGCATGCAATCAGCCTATCAACACCTGCGATCCAGGCAAGAGCAAGAACAAGACAAATGAAATATGGCTTGCTGTACCAGCCCGTCCACCCACTGTATTTGAGAGTAGCTTTCTTTTATAAAATTTTGTGCGTAATTTGAATAAATGAACGTCACTGGGGTAGTGGTAGGGCTCCAAGCTTGGGACATGTACAAGGCGACCAAATGATACGAGTGATTTCATAAGTTACAGGACTAACCACAGGAATGACTGTGCGGGCCTGTCTATCGAGGCTGCAGTTTTTCAGACAGGCCAATGTGACAGGTCGGAGGCCGCACCAAAAAACTGGGTGAAAAGTACTTTGATCTGAGAAGTCTCAGTGTCTTTGATCGTACAAACGCCATTAGTTCTCTTGAGAGGTCAGAAGGCAGGTGCGGGCGGTTTCACCCATGTGGGTAGCCCTCGTGATAGCATCAAGGGCATATTCAATGGTCAGTACTGCGGCAAACAGGATGAGGTGTCTAGGAGCAACGTTGGTTGTCGGTCTAACAGGAAAAATGGAGCCAGCACTGTTGTGCCGCGAAGAATTGTACGCAAATGTGGCCTGAGGAAAGATACTTCGAAAGCATGTCAGTAAGTGTTCGATTCAGATGTTCATTCATCTTTGGATGATACAACGTAGTGTGCTTGTGCCTCGGTGCACATGACTGCAGGGTGTTCGCCATGTCTCTCGACAAAAATGTGTGGCCGCAATCCTTAAAGGGCCAATAAGCAACCCCAAGGTCCAGAAATTGTTATAAATAAAAATATGTGCACTTTTACTTCAAGAACATGCTGCCGCAAGAATTTTGCGAACAGGTGCTATATTAAGGAAGTTACAGAGGCTAGAACAATGCTTTCAGCTGGTTTCAAATTTTCGCGTGGCCTCGGCACCCTTCTCCTTCAGAGGGAGTCACGACAACGGGCATAGCCCGTTGTCGTGACTCCGCCCACTTCGGCAGTGTGACAAGATGTCAGCAATTTACGTCATCGGTGAACTCGATCAGTCTCAATGCACTTCCGCTTGCTGCGATGCCTGGTTGTTTACTGTTTACCTGGTGCCGATGCTTCGCCACAGCCCAGTCGCTCGATTTGTAGCCGACAACGATTTGTAGCAAAACTGCGTTCCAAAAGCCGGAAAGGAATTTTACTCGATTTTTCTGGAGTTAGATTTTTCAGGAGCAGACTGTCGTGCCACCTGGGAGCAGCAACACAAAACACAAATAATAAGTTTAATAGTTAGTGTGCTCGTCAAGAGGTGGCGAAAAAATCTGTTCGCTCCCAAAAACTGAGCCAGTGACGTGTCCGTATTTCGATACATGGAGTCTATTGAGAGTTTCGCAACACGTATGGTCCCACCCACAGTTCTGTCGTAGCTGTGGGTGGAAACAGAAACTGTCGTTCACTTTACTACTGTTTGTTGAGACCTGGTTTAGACCAATCCACGAGCTGCGTGCTGCGTCACAATGCCGATTGCCAAATCGGCGCCACTGTGCATGAAAGGAGCATTGGTCAGGCTTAGGAAAGGAGTGCGGGAATCGTTTTTCGAAATAGAGGCTCTGCACGGTGCGCAGCTCTATAATATTCAGAAAACGTGATCGCTGCGGTCTACTCTACGAATTGCCGAGCTTGTTTGGGGGCTGTAAAAAAAATAAAAAGTCGTAGCCTGGCCCTTTAAACTGCTAGTGTGGAGGTCCATGTTGCAAGATCACCTCTCGGTAAGGAAATCAGCGACATCTGTGATGCAGCTTGTTCGAGGAGCTCGTGTGACAATATGGCACGTGTCATAGTCTGTGGCCACAGCTATTCAACTGTTGCCAAAGCAAGACAAGGAAAACAGGCCAAGTAGGTCTAAGCTAACACGAAAGAGTGGTTATGACAAAATATCAAGGATTTGAAGGCACTGGGCGTGAAGCATCGGTGGTGTTTGGTCATTGGAAAGTCATGAAGTTTGTGAAAAACAGCCTGATAGAGGTGTTTTGGAATGACAAGCTGCAGGGCTGGTACTTCTAGGTGGAAATTGTGGCAGTAAAGTGCATCATCTTGGCGGATAAATGAGCGATAGGACCAGTCGTTAGTCTAAGATTCTAGGCATTCAATGATAGTACACAAGTAGCATCATTCCGTTGCTCATCGCCTATGTGTGTCAGTAAGGAAACAAAAAAACACAAGCGTCGGTGTCGGGAATCATATCAGAGTTGTAGCTTTGACCGAATCGAGCGGGAGAGATATTTCTGTTGGTGTGACGCCCATGTGCACGGTTTAAAAGGCTGGAGATATGTATGTAGAAATATTAATGTTTAACACATTGAACTGACAATAAAGATGCTAATTATGGTGAATAGTGATGATATAACCAATGCACCAAAGGCGTAGTTGTCTGTTGGCAAAGTTCCTGTGTACAATGAAGAATGATGGAATGGTGTCCCCAGTGTCCACATATCTGGTTACTTGTTTTCTTTTTTAAATAAAGCTGAATTTTTTTGGTTTTCGGTTGCTTCCACTTTTCTATGTATTGTTCTCACATAAATTCAAAAAATATTGCACAAATGGTTGCGCTATGGGAAACAAAGGGTTAAAAAGGTTCCCGGCGTCGAGGTTGTACATTCTCTGAAATTGAATCTGAATTGGTTTCGTGATGTCATTCGACAGAAAATGTCATTTTCATCTAATGACATTACTTTCTTTATGTGGCAGCAAACAAATGACATTTTCAGTGTAAATGACATTTGATTTGCCTTGTGACAGGGGTCTAATATGCTTCCATCTTGGTTGAATATTAGCTCGACAAAAATGGCGACGAGAATAGAAAAGACAAATTACAGCATGAAGAAAGAGGTGGAATAAATAGCATCCAGGAAACCTAAAAAAGAAACTGCCATCGCACAGGCTCACTGATGAGATGTGCAAGCTGTCTGTGAGGTATGATACTTCTGCATCTGGTAGTGCTAGGGAAGGCTGACAGATACAATTATCACCTTCCAGTGACATGTAAAATGCCTCCATGATTTCACGTGGGTGCTGGTGTCTGTGGCAATGCAAGATTTCCACTGTAGTTTGTGTTTTCTATTCTTGTTCCCATTTTCGTCGTACTAATATTCGTTCAGGGTGGAAGCACACCAACTCGCCCAGTTGTCTGTTTTGATGTATGCTTGATTGCTCAACTCGGCATAGTGTTCCACTGCTGATGTAGAATTTCCAGAATAGCCTCCACGTTTGACACCAGCAAATTGGCATGGTTATTGGAGAATGAATCAACAAGCACAGTGGAAAAGTCAGCGGTCACACCTTGGTCCACTAGCATCACCCTGTCTATGTCTGGACACCTTCTTCTTCTGTCGTGAGTGCTTAGCTAGCGAGACGACCATTCTCTGTGAAGTCTAAGGGAACTCGTCTTGCTCTTCATCACCACCTCAACCTTTTGTCTTCGTTTTATGTCTGAGTTTTACCTTGACAAGTTGTTAAAAAGTTGCCTATTTTTTTTTACGAACTGGCAACCCCGTAGTGTTGCAAAATCACTCGGAAGCAGGCACTACAATCAGAATATAGTTCTTCGATAACTGTTCTAAAGGTTGCCCTTGCCCTTATGATAGAGTCAACAATAATGTGTTCTCACTTTTTTGTTACTTCCTGCAGGCTTGTGGAGCTGCCACTTGTGCGTGGAAGAGTACGGCCGTGTAGAGCATCGACCATCCACAGCCGGTAATTCTCCCTGAGGCACATTCCCAACTGCAACAAACTTTGCAAACAGTTTTCAAGTATAATAAAGAACACCACTGAAGTGATGTTGCTATACACTCCGTGCACTGCGGCTGGCGCGTTGCTGCGAGGCCGTCAAAGCAGAGAGTCATTGAGAGCCCAAGCGGAACCAAATGCTCTCCCAACGCCCACTACTTTATCGGGATCATGAACTGCTGCGAAGTTCACTATACCAACAGGTACACGTAATGTCCTGCGGGAACGACATTTTACAGTTTCTCGACTCATCTCTGCTTTAATGGGCAGTGAAATAAGCGTATCACGGCTGTGCGATGTAAAAAGTGTTTCAGCTCCCTCTGCTGTCTTGCATCTTGCTGTTGCGTGCTTGAATTGGCCTGAGACACCACCGCTGCAGGTTCACTGATCTTACATGATGTAAGATAGGTGGTCAGAAAAAAAATTTATGCAAGGCATTTCAATTCTGTTCAAGGCTGGTGGAATGTTTTATTGGACCTCAATAATAACTCGTTGTTTACCCTTCACAGTTTTGGGGAATGCAATGCGAGGTCATTTATTACTAAGTAGCCTTAGTGATAAAGAAGTTAAATAACAAATCTGCAGTTGGCTTTGACGATTTAAAAGCTGAACCACTAGAAGGAGTATCGGAGCATATTAGCACCCTTTGCCCATATCTGCAACCTCATCCTGAGCACTGGAACGATCCGGGACAAACTAAAAGGGGCCAAAGAATCTGTAATCCACAAAGGTGGTGACGAATATGACATGAATAATTATCGACGCGCTTCTGTTTGCCTATATTTTCGAAAATTATTGAACGTGTTATTTATGCCCGAATTTCATATTTCTGTAGCTCAAAGAAAAGTTATTACAGAATATCAGTATGAACTTCAGAAGAACAAGTGTACTGAGAAAGCCCTATTATATGTTATAGATAAAATAATCCATAATTTTGAGCAAAAGTACCACACAAGTGGAATATTTCATGATTTAAAAAAAGCATTTGATTCCATCAAGCATGTAATTCTTTTAAAAAAGCTTAATGAATACAGAATAAGAGGCTTACATCTTAATTTAATAAGAAGTTGCCTAATTGGTATCAATATACTGACATGAAGCACTCCAACTCTCAAATGGGAAAGATAAATTACAGCGTCCCACAGGGTTCCATACTCGGACCACTTCTCTTTGTATTCTATATGAACAATATTGTAAACGTGCCATTAACACCAGATACTGTGCTTTATGCAGACGACACGTAACATATTTTTTCTGGTCAAGGTATGTTCAGTCTAGAAAAACAAGCAAATATTTGGCTTAACATTTTGTCTCTATGGTTGCAAGCAAATTAATTAGAAATAAATATTAAGAAAACAAAATACATTATTTTTCGACCACAAAGTTGTTCTCTTCTTCGCAGCTAACATTCAGAGGAGGTTTGATTGAGCGGGTTCAGGCCCAAAAGTTTCTAGGTGTAATTTTTCACAAAACGTTTAACTGGTCCAATTACTTAGGTAAACTTCGTACGCAGGTCTCACGGTTCATCAGTGTAATAGGAAAAATAAGATGCTTACTACCCTTTTGGGTCACGAAGCAGCTCTCCTACACTTTAGTTTATTCGCACCTACATACTGCGTGTTGATCTGGGGCTCCACAACAAAAACAAATAAAATTAGTATTCACAGACTACAAAAAAGAATGCTGCGCATAATTGAAAATGTTCCGTGTCGAACACCGTCCACCCCACTTTTTCATAAAGCATGTGTTACGGGGGTGAGAGAATGAATGAAATAAATATATTTACAAAATATACTGGGAGAGTCAGAGGCAGCAGCAGCCAAGATGGAAGAACAGCAGCAACAGCAACACGAGCATGGTCGCTTTCATCGTCTTCGTCGTCTATGATGCTCTTTCGTTGCCGATGTCGTGTAACATATAACCCCCCGCTGCTGGCAGCGTCGTCTCGGCGCCTAAAGGAGAGTAGGGTCAATATGCGGATATGCACGGTTTGAGGCGGGTCACGTGGACGACGTCAGTAGCGGGTGTGGACGACGATGACTGACTGTCCAACGGAGCAATCTCGTATGTGACATCGGTAAGCCGGCGTAAAACCTTCTAAGGCCCCGAGTAGCGAGACAGGAGCTTCGAAGAGAGGCCAACGTGGCGGCATGGTGTCCAGAGGAGGACCAATGAACCTGGAGAGTAGGAAATTACTCTGTGATGGCTATCGTAGTGGGCCTTCTGAGAGAGCTGCGAGCCAAGAAGACGTTCCCGTGCGATTTGGCGGGCCACTTGAGCCCGAGCAGTGGCATCCCGGGCGTACTCTGTAACCGTTTGCGTCGTTGATGGGAGAAGAGTCTCGAAGGGTAGCGCTGGATGGCGGCCGAACAATAAATAGAAGGGGGAGAAGCCAGCGGTGTCGTGGCGTGACGAATTGTACGCGAATGTCACATAATGCAAAGTACTATTCCAATGAAGCAGATCTTTGGAAACGTACATGGAGAGCATCATTGTCAATGTTCGATTTAGGCGCTCAGTAAGACCATTTGTTTGTGGGTGATAGGTGGTAGTGAGCTTGTGACGCGTCGAACACTAGCGAAGGATGTCACCTACTACTTTTGAAAGAAATGAGCGACCACGATCGGTCAGCAGCTGTTGAGGAGCGCCATGGTGAAGAATTACGTCATGAAGCAAGAAGTCCGCAACGTCAGTGGCACAGCTTGTCGGTAGTGCTTGTGTGATAGCGTATCTTGTGGCGTAATCAGTGGCTACGGCTATCCACTTGTTTCCAGTGAGAGAAGAAGTAGGAAATGGTCCAACGAGATCAAAACTGACGCGGTAGAAGGGAACGGTTGGCATGTCTATTGGTTGGAGCGGACCAGCTGGTGGCAAGGTGGAAAGTTTGGAGCGCTGGCAGGACTCACATGCAGCAACGTATCGGCGCACAGAACGGTAAAGGCCTGGCCAGAAGAATCTACGCCACACGCGATCGTACGTGCGCGTGACCCCGAGATGTCCCGTGGTTGGGGCGTCGTGAAGCTGTTCAAGTACAGTGGAACGGAGTGTCGCAGGAACTACGAGTAGTAGCTCTGGTCCTTCGGCGCTGGTGTTTCGTCGGTAAAGAATGTCATCACGTAGAACGAACTAGTGTAGCGACAGGTCTATGTGGGGCAAGCGTAGACTCTAGATGATAGACCACAAGTGGACATCGCTGAGCTGTTCCTTGCGTATATCGGTGAAAGCTGACATGGCGAAGACACAAGGGTCAGAATCATGTGCTGAAAGGTCAGGCGGGTCCACGGGGTGATGGGATGGACAGTCGGCATCCTGGTGCATTAGGCCAGATTTGTATGCCACGTCGAAGCTGTGTTCTTGTAGTTTCAAGGCCCAACGGCCAAGTCGTCCTGTTGGATATTTAAGGGACGACAGCCAGCACAAGGCATGGTGATCTGTAATTACCGAAAAGGGTTGGCTAAACAAGTATGGTCGAAATTTTCCGACTGCCCAGACTAGTGCGAGGCACTCACGCTCTGTAATGGAAAACTTGCTCTCCGAAGGAGAAAGGAGGCGACTGGCATAAGCCATGATGCGATCTTGTCCTCGTTGCTGCTGGGCGAGAACAGCACCAATTCCATGTCCGCTGGCATCGGTACGAGCTTCAGTATGGGCTGACGGGTCGAAATGGGCTAAGATGGGTGGGGAAGTAAGTAATGTTGTAAGGGTGCTGAAGGCAGTTGCTTGGTCAGTACCCCAATAAAAAGGCATGTCCTTCTTCAGTAGCTTGGTAAGTGGTCGGGCAATGTCAGCAAAATTCTCCACGAAACGTCGAAAGAAAGAACAAAGGCCAATAAAGCTTCGTACATCTTTTGCGGAACGTGGTATGGGAAAATGTTTGACAACTCGAATTTTGTCAGGATCAGGTTGCACACCTCGAGCACTGACAAGGTGGCCCAGCACAGTGATTTCCCCACGGCCAAAGCGACATTTCGAAGAGTTGAGCTGAAGTCCTGCTTTCCGGAAAACCTCAAGAACAGCCGTTAGGCGGCTAAGGTGGCTTTCGAGTGTAGGTGAAAATGCAATGACGTCATCGAGATAGCACAGGCACGTGGTCCATTTTTATCCACGCAGGAGAGAGTCCATCATTCTTTCAAATGTAGCTGGCGCATTACACAATCCGAATGGCATAACCTTGAACTGGAAAAGTCCATGTGGTGTGATGAATGCGGTTTTCTCACGGTCTCGATGATCGAAAGAAATCTGCCAGTATCCTGATCGCAAGTCGATAGATGAAAAGTAGGCAGACCCATGTAGGCAGTCGAGAGCATTGTCAATCTGCGGCAGTGGATACACGTCCTTACGTGTTACTTTGTGCTGGTAGTCTACGCAGAAGTGCCAGCTGCCATCCTTCTTCTTGAGTAGCATGACCGGCGATGCCCATGGACTGCAAGAAGGTTCGATGACGTCTTTTGAGAGCATTTCTTCAACTTCGTGCTGGATAACTTGTCGCTCAGCATTAGACACGCGATAAGGACGTCGTCGGATGGGGCTGGCATCTCCAGTGTTAATCCTATGAGTTACAAAGAATGTCTGACGCAAAGGGCGGTCATCAAAATCAAAGATGTCGCGGTAAGATTTCAGCAGGTGCCGGATGTCAGCTGTCTGTGCTGGAAGAAGGTCCGGAGCGATCATCTTGTCGATGGTGGCATCCGCTGCGCTCTTCGAGGATGAAAACGGAGCAGAAGACGAAGAAGATTCGGCAACGAACGCGGAAACGGCAGCATCTATAGAAAAAACTTTTGCCAAAGTCATACCATCTGGTATAATTTGAACGCACCAGCTGAAGTTTAGGATCGGAAGAGATGCTGTATTTCCCATGACTGTCAAAAGTGTGTGATGCACGGCATTTTCGGCCAGCAGAACGTCAGCAATAGGTGTCAACATGTAGTCACCATTGGAAACAGGAGGGACAGATCTCGGGTTCACGTAAGTAACGGCTTGAGGCGCTAGGCGAATGTGATCTGCAGAACACAGACGGGGTTGAGCTGGTGTTGGGTCGTCATGGTAACACG